AGGAAATGTACACCAGAGAAGGCAAAATTACATAGTTTCTATCTGGAGATAAAAGCAACATATTTAGCGGTCCAAAGGTTACGTCACTATTTACTCGAAAAAAACTTTAAGTTGGTCACAGATTGTCAAGCATTCAAGAGCATTGTCAGCAAAAGCGATCTATCACCGGCTGTAACACGTTGGATATTATATTTACAAGACTATCACTACACTATAGAGCATCGTAAAGCGGCAGCAATGAGACATGTTGACGCCTTAAGTCGGGCACCAATGAACGTTATGGTTATAAGAGAAGAAATTTCCGCAAGACTTCGAAAAGCACAAGCAGAAGATAAGCATATTATGCCAATAAAGCAGGTCTTGGCAACACAATCGTACGAAAACTACTTAATAAAAAATAATATTCTGTGGAAAGAAAAGGAAGGTTTAATACTTTTCGTAGTACCTCACCTCATGGAGTATGAAATAATCCGCGATGAACATGAAAATGGACATTTTGCTACAGAGAAAGTAGTCAACACACTGGAACAAAAATTTTTTATACCACATCTTCGTCGAAAAGTTGAAGAAGTAATAAAAAACTGCGTGAAGTGTATATTATTCAACAAAAAGCTCGGCAAACAAGAAGGTCATATGCACGTTATTGAAAAAGGAGACGTACCTCTATATACCCTACACATAGACCACTTAGGACCGATGGATATAACAACAAAGAAGTATAAGTATATATTGACACTTGTTGATGGGTTCAGTAAATTTGTTTGGCTTTACCCAACTAAAACAACAGCTGCAGAAGAAGTCATCAAAAAGTTACCAGAGTGGGCAGAAATTTTTGGATCACCAAAACGAATCATAAGTGATAAAGGAGCTGCATTTGTATTAACAATATTTAAAGAATGGTGTCAAAAAGAATTGGTGGAACATGTTTTGGTAACCACGGGTGTCGCAAGAGGAAATGGACAAGTTGAACGTATCAACCGAGTAATAATCAACGTTTTGTCGAAACTATCTTCTGAACATCCAGAATCATGGTATAAATATGTTAGTATGGTTCAGAAAATCATCAACAGTACAATCAACAAATCTTCCGAGCATACTCCATTTGAGCTTGTGTTTGGAATGAAAATGCGTTCGGTGATGGACATCAGGATAAATGAGATAATAACTGAAGAAGTAGAAAACATTTTTATAGCAGAACGAAATGAAATCAGGGTGAACGCACGTGAACAAATTAGAAAGGCCCAAGCTGAATATAAAATGCAATATGATAAGCATCGAAAAGGTGAAACTAAATACGAAGTAGGTAACTTGGTGGCTATAAAGAGGACGCAATTTGTTAGCAGTAAGAAATTATCAAACGCATTTCTAGGACCATACGAGGTTACAAAATGCAAACGAAACGGACGTTATGAGGTCAAAAAAGCGTCGGAATTCGTAGGTCCAAATAACACATCAACATCATGTGATTTCATGAAACCGTGGAGAAACGAAGCAATCGATCTATCCGGGACGGATAAAGATGTTGGAAGGCCAAATGTAAGGGTGGCAACGCCAGATATAGAAGTAATGTAAGAATGAACGAGGTAAAGTCGAAGTTGAGCAGTCGAATTCAGAAGTCGTAAAGTAGCAGTCGAAAAGTGGCAGTCGAATTCAGAAGTCGTAAAGTAGCAGTCGAATAGTGGCAGTCGAATTCAGAAGTCGTAAAGTAGCAGTCGAAAAGTGGCAGTCGTAAAAAAGAAGTCATAAATTAACAGTGGTAGAAATGGTGCGGTGGCAGTCGGTCCCTTGAGTTCATGAATTTTATTACAGTAGTAGTCGCCTCCTCATTGCCACATTTTAGGATTCCATTTTTGCTTCATTTGCACCACTTGTTTCCAATGCGTATTCTATCATCTCGAACGAGCACCTTTTGCGAACGATCTATTGAGAGAATTTTTTTCCTTATTAAGAGAAGAGCTTTTCTATGCCGTTGTCTGTCTTTGTTCAGGTCTTTTTCAATCCTAATAGTAATTTGCAAGTTTGTGTATGTTTTGGAAAACCAAGCCAATCGTTTCTTCTGACGTCATCTCTGCCAAGGCGTTGATTTTATTTTCCCGCTGTGACATGACTCTAGCTTTACGGACTACAATGTTTACGCCAAGAGTTTCTTCATACAGTTTTGTGACAGCTTCTTCGGGTGGCAGCTGATCTGTGAGGCCTTTGAAAATTAGGTTTTTTCCTTATTAGCGTCAATTAGCCGCATCAGTTCTTCGTGGTCGGTTTGTTTTTCATGTGTCAATTTAATTATTTTTTCTTTTAAAGTTTTATTTTATTATTTAAGGATGACAGGTCCTTAAAGGGTTGGAGACAAAGTTCTCAACTTCCTGCTCACGAAGCAGGGCGTTGATACCGTAAAAGGTGTCCTTATCTTTCGCAAGAATACGAGTCGAATTGCCATTTACGCATTTGGACACGTAAGTGGCGTTGGGTAATACATATTTGATTGAGAAGCCAAGCGCCTTAACATTAACACCACGGGCCATAATGCCTGGCGGCGTTGACGCTTTCGTGGCCGAATCCAATTGAGGGGTTGGGAGTTTGGGAGATTTGGACCCTGGAGTGTGCTTAGGGGCAGGCGCGAACTTGGGTGTAGGCAGGAGCTTGGATGCTGGTGGGAACATGAGGCAAGACAGAACCTTGGGCTCCGAATGTAGCTTGAGAGCCAAAAATGGCTTGGATGTAATAAGAGGCATGGAAGCCAAGGTAGGTTTCACATCACCAACTGAAGTGCAGTCATGGGCTATAACAGGGGAGGATGAAACAAAAGTAGGTGCTGGGCTAGAACTGGGGATTTCCGCAGCGATGGCGGAAATCTTAGCACGAAGAGAGGAATTATCAGCCATAAAGGACTTAAGGGCTTTGATCATTTTGGCGAGTTGGTTTTTAGGCGCTCCTTAAAGCGAGATTTTTTTTGTGGCCACAGTTCGGGTTCATTTAGAGTGAAGACATTTATATGCAGTCTTTTTATCGTGGCTCACCCGACTGAAGACGAGATTCACAACTCCGTCCTCAGTTGTTAGTAAAAACAGGTAAGAATAATATCCAAGTGATAAATATTAATTTTAGTAAAAATGAATTAAGAAAGAAAAAAAATATAATATGATCAAGTAATGAGATAAGACACAAAAGTTAAAGAAAGAAAATAAAAATAAATGAAAAATAAAATATAATAATATAATAGTAATAATTAAAATACAAAATGCAGTTTTTGAACATTCACTGGTGCGCGTCTAAAAAGAAATCATTACGTACTTTTGGTGTTTATTTCACGTGTACAACGTAGAAAGTGATTTAAACATGCTACAAATAATCGACTCTTAACAGTGAGTCTTAACAAAATTTTGTAAAAATAGTGGTGCCGACTTAATGTCAATTATAAAAATTACTATATTCAGATTGTTTTATTGTCAAAAGTGAATTTTGGATTTTGTGAATTGTTTTGTTTTTGAATTCGTTTGTTTGATTCTAAATCACACACATTTGAAAACAGCTGATTTAGATAGCAAATTCAGTACAGAAGCGGTAGATTAATAATAATGCCGTCTTTAAAATTGGGCGGCAAGAACTCTTGGGACCAGAAGTTGTCAACAATTGGTTAAATAATTTGAGCAGCTGAACTTTTGTCTGCTTTGAGCAGTTCGGGGGCAATAAAGGCCAGACTAGCCGAATTACCCGCTTTAAGCTGAGTTATTGCTGCTTCGATTTCACTAACATTAGGCACGTATGTGTTTATATCGTAGCGAGCAACATGTTCATCGTGTCTACTACATAGTTCTTGCTGAGGATTGGTGTTGTTTCCCGCTAGGAGATTTCTATAGTGATCTTCCCTTACTTTTAGCTTATCTTCGGTAGAATGTAATAATTCGCCCTATTTTTGATTGGCTTTGCAATCCTGTGTATACGTCCTACCATAGCTGATGTTGTGTAGGTATTTGAGCCTATGTGATTCGCTAGTTTTTGGGCTTCTGTTGTTCAATTGCCGAGCCATCTGCGCTTATTTGCTTTAACGCTGCGTTTAATTTTGCGGTTGGCAATACTCTAGTTGGCTTGTGCCTACTGCTTTGTTTGACGAGTTTGGACATACAAAAACCTATTGTACGCTGCGTTCGGTGTGTGTTGTGTATGATGAATTTCACCATACTTTTAAATACGACAAAAAAGTTCATAACGACAAAAAGGTAGTTGTTAGAGCAAAACAGAACATCAAACTTAACTGCTCTACCTTGTATATCTATTTGTTTTAAGCTTTGATGTTTTACTGTTGTATCTTTTGAGAGGTGATACTTGGTTCCCGTTGAAGGAGAGACAATATTTGCATTACGGAAGATTCACTGTATTTTCAATTCTGAAGGTGATTATACAATTTTAGTAATAATCTTTATTACCTTCGATAGACTTAAATATTGGAAAGTAAAATTACAATTAATTACAATTAGTATACATAAATTCTTTCATACATTACTTTCACACATAAATTCTATTAACTTCTTTATATTTATATATGGTAGTGTGAATTTAAATTACAATTAACGTAATAAATATAAATGCGTTTTGAAAATAACCTCTAAATTTGGTTTCCGTTTTCTGTTATTACTTGAGCGTAAAAATTTGGCGACCGTGACAGGACACATGTCCTAGCAGTAAAATGAACACCGATAATAATGATAATAATCCAGCCAGTAATGTAATCAACAATACAGGTAACAATTTTGCTCTTAACTTAAGTCATTTAAAGCAGCAACGATCAACGCTGAAAAGGAATATGATCTCCATCCGATCTAAGATAGAAAAGAATAAAGACGAAGTGGATCCAGCTATTCTTGAATGTCGACTACAAATTCTAGAATCTCATTTCAAACAATTGTGCCACATTCAATCACAGATCGAACAATTAAATCCAGAAGACAATGCCAGAACTGATTTTGAAGAGCTGTTTGTTGCTATAAGCTATAATACTTAATATGCTTAAAGAAACTCGAAGTAATACTTCATTTGAAGTTATGAATACAACATCCAATTTCAGTGTTGCCCACCATTCTCGTTTACCATGTCTAAAATTACCAAAATTTGACGGAAAATACGTCAACTACAATCGATTTATCTCTGCAATTAAGCATTTGGTGCACAATGACCCAACCTTATCTGATGTTGATAAATTCAATTATTTATTAACACTAGCAGTTATCGAAGCTTTTCAAATTACAGCAGAAAATTATTCAAGGGCTATGGCACGATTGAAAGAACATTTTGATAATAAGATATTAATGTTTTTAGATCACATTATTAAACTCTTTAATGTTCCAGGAATGACTAAAGCTGATCCGGCTCCTCTACGTAAATTAATTGATACAATTGCAGCATTAAAATCATCATTGCTTTCATTGGACTCAGAAGTAGAAGTTATGAATGCTATTATAATTAATATAGTCTTAAGTAAAGTTGATGCGGAAACAAAATTGGCACATGACGAAAAGCAAGAATTTAAAAAAATGCCTTCTTGGGATGAATTTTATAAGATGTTAAGTCGGCGTTGTTAATTTCTTGAAGGACGAGCTACGTCCATAAATACTTCCGAAAAAAAATTACAAAACAATTTTAATACCATACCAAGAAGAGTATCACAAACGCATCTCAGTGTCAAATCTGGTTGTGAATTTTGCAAGGCAGCTGATCACTTTTTAGGAAAATGCCCCTCGATTTTAGCAACGCCAGTTTCTCAGCGTTTTGATTTTGTTAAAAAAGCAGGCTGCTGCATAAATTGTTTGACAAAAGGGCACTCCGTTACAAAATGTAAATCCGAATCACGTTGTAACGACACGGATTCGTCGTTTTTAATTTGCTGAGGTATTACTCAGTCGCGGTCCGGGTCGTTGCAATAAATTTGTTTTATTGACTAGTTCGAAGCTGGTAAACCAAGGAAAGTTAAAAGACCGTTTGATTTTTATTTTAAAATTTATTTATTAAAAAGTTTTCTTAAATAATTTATTTTAAGCTTGACTCTACTCAATAAGTTTTATCCAAAGACGTCAGAACATCAAAGGTTTTTTTTTTCAAATCTACTCAATTAGTTTTAGCCACAGACGTCAAAACATCAAGGCGTTATAAAATCTACTCAATATGTTTTATCCAAAGACGTCAGAACATCAAAGGGTTTTTTCCAAATCTACTCAATTAGTTTCTAGCCAAAGACGTCAAAACATCAAAGGCGTTATAAAATCTACTTAATACGTTCTACGGATTTATTTAGCCTTAGCGTCGAAACACTATGGGCTTCTAAAAGGGACTTAGCGCTGGAGTATTGGTCTACTCACTTCGGTGTGCCGGTGCTAAGTGATTTTCATATAAAAATCTCCGCTATTTATATAAAACACTTTGCTTTGATTAATTGTACGCACAACCGCACAAGTATAATTTTCGTGCGTGTGGGTGTTCGCTGTGTTTGTCGTGCGTATGGATGTTCGCTGTGTTGATCGTGCGTGTGGATGTTCGCTGTGTTGATCGTGCGTGTGGATGTTCGCGGTGTTGATCGTGCGTGTGGATGTTCGCGCTGTTGATCGTGCGTGTGGATGTTCGCGGTATTGATCGTGCGTGTGGATGTTCGCGGTGTTTGTTGTGCGTATGGATGTTCGCTGTGTTTATCGTATTTAAATAATTTTTATGCAGAGAATTTTAGTAAAAATAGTAAGTTTATGTAGGGCGGAAATTTGTACAAAATTCCGTCCTTACAACGTTGCAGAATTTGTCGTTCATCACATCATACTCATTTACACAAATTTACAAATACTTCGACTAGTTCATCAATTAGTTGTCCAAGTATTGCAATTCAAGAGCAAGAATAGCTACAAAAATCTAATAGCGCTGTAACATCATTACTAATTCAGTTTTCAAAAAGAGCAATTATTCCTACTGTTCTTGTATTTGTGATGGACAAATTTGGGCTTCCGAATTAAACTTTACTACTGAGGAAATAGCCAAATTATTGCATTTAAAATGGCACTACACTACTCAAGAAGTCTATGGTATTACCAATTTGAAAACACATTTCAATTATAATGTATTTGCAACTGTGTAATCTCGCACGTCCGACTTCGAATGGTCTTCTCAGTTTACAATTACGAAATCCATTTCCTCCGTAAACCATAGAGCCTACATTAATGCAACAAAATTTCAAATTCCTACTAATATTCAATTAGCGGATCCATTATTCGATAGACCTTGTCAAGTGGACATGCTGACATGGTGCTAAAATATTCTTTGATTTATTACTTGAGGGCAAAATTTCGTTAAGCAAAGACATGGCATATTTAATTAACACTGTTTTCGGTTGGGTAACAGGAGGCACGCATAGAACAGACTTATGTTCTAAATCATTTGAATGTAACTTTACTCAAAAGTCACACACTGAAGATACATTCTTTGTACGATTTTGGGAATTAGAAGAATACAAAATGAGCTCTCCGTAACTCAGCGCAGAGGAGAAACAACCGCGGTTTAGTGGCCCTAAGCAAGTAGCTGTCATAATTAAAACAAAGAATAAACTTTCAGAAGCCGCGGATAATAAAATACAACAGTCGCAGAATACAGCGGTTTATAAAGAGCATCATCCACATTTTTATAATCATACTAATGTTAAATACTCTACTAATGAAAGGTTACAGTCGAATAATGTTGAAAATATATATGATACTTTAAATGAAAATTACAAAAGTGTGTATAAATCGCCATCTATTTTAACAGAAACTCAACAATTTGCTAGTATTATTAAAAGAAATATTTATCAAGATACAAGTCTACAAAATGAATTTCCACATTCAGTTAAAAATAAATCTATTTGTAATAAAGTGGTAGGCGAAAAATGGGATAGTTCAAATTTGCTTGTCGATCAGAGGAAAGGGAATTTATTAATTTAACTGGTAACTTTTCAAAACATTGTAATATATCATCATTGAACGAAAGTAAATTTGAAAAATTATTACATCCAAATGAATCTGTAGATTAAACTAACAACAGTAGTTCACATCAAAATACAAACACATCTAATGTAAGATCTTCACCTGCTAGAAGTAGATATTTATATAGCTTTGTAAATCGTAAACGAATTGTTCGCGTACGAAGCGAATCTCGTCCAATTAACTTCTTTTATGATATTATGATTTAATAAATAAGTTGAAACTGATATTAACTGTAGAGTTTAAGCTTTTATATAAATAGGATAAGCTTTTTATAAAACTACAAAATAAGAGAGTAGAGTTCGAATTATAATTAAGTTAGTTTGTAAGCTTGTAAGTTAAAATGAAATAAAAACTAGTCTTAATTGAAACCTAAACGTGAACATTACATTAACTATATTGAAAAATCAAATAATTTAGAGTACCCAAACGCTCAAATTAAATCAATTTGAAAAAAAATGAAATTCCTTTATAAAATACTTCAAACAAAAATAATCATACTGAAAATGTTAAGCTTTTATACAATTCAAGAACTCAAATGAACAAAACTGTAAAAAATTTTGGTTTAAAATCATCATCATTGCCGTCTGCTCTTGTGTCTAGCGAGTGTAATACCAATACTCAAAGTCGAGGTGAAATAGTTAAAAATAGGAATAATATTTCAATATGTAAAAATGGACAAAATAATAAATGTGATCTATTCAAAGTTAAATATGACTCTTTTGATAAATTTAAGATAAAAGAGATTGATACAGTAAACGATAAAATTACATCTATAAAAACAGTCACTAACGCATTGCTAAACTGTCCGCAAATTTTCAATAACCATATAACGCATACAATTTCTAAAGAATATATATATATGGTGGGACGTTGGGACAGCGCACTGTCCAACAAGTGGCCCCACTGAAGTGAAGGATTAGTCGAAGTAGACCACGAAACGATTTGGGTCCTTTTTCGTCCTTCGATTCTCGGATGTTGTTATTGAGTTAAAGCTGGAGTGGCTTCCGTTCGCATAACTACATCTTTTGTTAATGCAAGCATCTCATTTAGCTTGAGGTTTCCTGCCAAGTCGTGACCAACCCAATGGTGTCCCAAGACAGTCTTCCTCCTACTTGCCAGTGCTGGACATTGGCACATTATATGCACCGCTGTCTCCTTTTCTTCTAGACATAGTCTGCAAGTGTCTTCCTCAGCAAGAGTTATCTTTTTGAGGTGATACTTGAAGTTGCCATGTCCAGCCATGTTTAGAATATACAAACAAAGAAAAGCTAGAGGACCAGTCTCCAGACAACTGTGAAAAGTCTACTATAAATTCCAGTGGAATAGTCTCCAATTCTGATGAAAGTTTTGTATCAATTGATATTTGTACAGAGCAAAACGATCATTTGAATAAAATGAATAATAACCGTTTGCAATTAATTCATTTTGGTGGCCTTTGGGAGGCTTCTGTCAAATCAAACAAACTACTATTGGTGAAAAATGTTACTAAAGCTAATCTAACGTTAGAAGAGTTTAATACACTAATAATTGAAATAGAAGCAATATTAAATTCTCGGCCCATTTGCTCAAACTCTGATGATCCCAACGACGGAGACGCCTTAGCTCCAGCACATCTGTTAATAGGTTCACTATTACGGGCCGCGCCTGATGAATGTTAAGACGACAAGAAACTATCTTGCTTATCTCGATAGCAACGAGTAACATATTTAAAACATCGTTTTTGGGAAATCTGGAAGCGGATTATATTCTATTTTTACAACAGCGAGCTAAATGGTTCTCTTCTGAACTCAATGTTAAACTTGGACAAATAGTAATCGTGCATGATGATAATTTGCCTCCTTAAATTTGGTTTTCTGTTATTACTTGAGCGTAAACAGTAGTAAAATGTAGTAATTGTAATGGTAACCATACCGCAAATTACAGAGAGTGCCAAGTCTATCTACATCTTAAACAAAGTCTTCTCTACAAAAGACAAGCTCTTCGGGACCCTAATATGTAATATGTTTCAAAAACAATGCTTACTTCAATTATACTTCTTCCAACGGGGCGATTCAAGACGTCACATATTTTAATGTATTAAAGTTAAATACCCAGCACGAACAACAAACTCCAGATCAACATGCTCCAAGTAGCAATTTTAAAATAATGTTCTCACAGTTTATGCAAACCATGCAAACTATGTTCAACAAAATAATACAAATGCAATCGCAATTGATGTCAGCGATTTTAGCTAGGTAATAAGTATTATAAAAATATGTGCATGAACTGCAGACGGCATAAGCCAACATAAATTAGAAATTTTGAATTTTTTAATGTAAAATGATCCTGATGGCAAAGCACATGGAAATATGGGAATTTTATTCCGTAAAAGTTCAAAACACGATTTTGTGGGCTCATGCTTTTCATTCAAGCTACTTTAGTTTGCTTTACCTCTAATCTTACTCTATCAGCAGTATATTGCCCCTCATTTTATACTAATATAAACGAAAGGCAGTACCTCGAGTTTTTCAAAACTTTGGGAGAAAAATTTATTGCTTTAGGAGACACACTTTTAGGGGCTCTCGTCTCTGCAATCGTAAAGGTCA